TTTTTTTTTCTCTTGAGAAAAGATATAGAAGAAATATCTGATTTTTCTTTATATGTAGAGAAAGAGATGACTTGATGGATGCACTTGTTTCACTGAGACAAAACATGAAAGAGATGCAAAAAAGAGAATCTAATGCTTGTGAGCAAGTTAAACAAGCTGTGCAAATGACAGAAGAAGCCAATTTAGAAAAAACAAAGGTAAATTCATCAAGATATGAGAGCTTTTCAATATTCAAATCTACTACAAATGTTAATTAGTTTTTATGCTAATGGGAGAATACACACATAAGACCTTTAACACAAGTCGATGTGTGTGTAGTAGATTTAAAAGGATTGTACTGTATGACTTTCTGAGCAGTAATATGAACTCTTCATTTGAGTTCTTAAATTCTCATCAAGGTTATAGGATGTGTTGCATTCTTAGGCCGTCATTTAAATTCTAATGTAGTTTCACAGCTAGGTGACAGAAATTGAATGGTAGAATTTTCAAAGATATTCGTGACATGGAGGAGGATAATTCTCATATCACATTTCCGAGCTACTCTGGGAAGAATACTTAAAATGCTAGCAAACAACTCTTTTGCCTCAGATGTGTGCAGTGCAAGAACTGATTAGCTAACAGAACTCTTTGGAGATGAGAAGTCCTGTCTCATGCTATCTGCAGGAAGCTTTTGATGCTATGTAAATAATAATGATAAAACCAGTTTTGATATGATGCTTGTGTTAGCTCTAGTTACTGTATACAATCAACCAATGTTGACCTAAATTATTTCCTTGATATTTAGTGACATCTACTGTATTATTAGTGAATTACTATGGAATTGAGATAGGGTTGGTTTTGGTTTGTTTCTGTTTTTTTTTTTTTAATTAAATGTTGTTGGTTTTAATAGCAGACAAGATTGATATAATTGTTCTATTGATCAAATTGGTTTTATTCATCTGATGCTGTAAGAGAGAGAGTGTATGCATACGATCTTTAACTATAAGCAGTGGGGAAAAAAATGAGAGTTGTAAATCCTAATCCCATGTCCGTGTTAAATTTAATTTCACAGTATTACAGCTCCTTGTTTTTTACTGAGCAGAGAGAGAAAGAATTCTTTTGATCCCACTGTTCACCTGTTACACCCTGTACCTGAGGGACTGAATTTTTAAAGTGCTTACTTGTTTACTTTTTTGGGGGTGGGTTCTACAATTGTCTGATATAAATGTTATTCACTTACTATATATTCACTGCTATTTAAAACTGCACAAAATACTTTTCCTCCTTTAGGCAATAAAGTGAAGTTGTCTGTTCTTCCTCTTTTTTTTTATTTGGATTTAGAAATCTTTATTTTAATACTTAAAAAGAAAATCCCTATAAATTCTTACTCAGCGTAGTTCATGTTAGAAATGTGGCCTAAGAATAAAACTTAGTAAGACGAATTAGTAGAACCCTTAATCAAAGGAGTCTTTGTACCTATACTGTTTCTGCCAGCTCGGTAGGGTCTCTGCTGGCCACCCTTTCCACTGCAGCAAGGAAACGTGCAGTACTACCTGCATGCAAGACAGAATAGTAGTCTGTTTTCCTTGCTCAAAAACTGTTGTAACATGAAGGATCAGGAAGAAATCTTTTACTTATGCTGCATTAATTTCACATTTTTACATGTACTGGTAATTCTCTTGGTAAGTACAAACCATCCTTTATTTTCCCAGTCCTCTTCTACTCTTAAGGTGAAGTGCTGTTTTCCTTTGTGATTATCATAGAATCCAATTGAACAGTCCACGTTAGAAAACTGAGGAGTTAGCATTTGGAAGCCAAATGTGTTATAATTGCAATTTCGTCACCCTGTTGACAGAAGGTCTAACCTTGGATGCTTATCATTTAAAACCATAATTTTTTCTTGTCTTTTTATTGTTTCTGTAGTTTGTAGCCTCTTGCCTATTACATAGAGCAAGGAGGAGATCTAGTAAGGTTAAACGTCCATAGCTGAAGCAAATCCAGGAATTATTTTCAACATAAATGTCGTAGAAGAATAATTGCTTGAACTGCTCTTTATGTAGTCAAAACAGTGGAGCTAACAAAATACACATTTCTTCTTGCAACTTGTTTCTTCTAGAGTTGCGTTGTTTTACATATCTACCAAACTAAACCAGTCTTATTCAGACATTTGTTTGCTAATGCTGATGATAAATTCCTACAGAAAAAGTTTCCAAGCATCAACAGAGGGATTCCCTCACCCAGGTAGACTCCTGACCCTAAGGAGGGTCCCGCAGAGTTGACATAAACTAATGGAGGGTGTTAGAGCATTCACTAAAAATTATTGTTTAATTTGCTTCCTTGATGAACAGCCGAACACCAAGGAAATTGCACATAGGGGATTGGCTTTGCATAAAAGAAAAATAAGCACTTTAAAAAAACTAATTTGAAAATAAAAAGTCAGAAGGTAGGATTCCTAAAATGTTACTTTAACTTCCTTGAAACAGATTATACTGAATATCAGTGAAATGATGAAATGAAATCTAGTTTACTTGTGGGCTAGCAAGCTACCTTTAGGGTGCTTTGAATACTTAAGTTATACTTAATGGAGTAATGTATTCCTGATTTAAACTGCACACTCAACCCCTATCCCTTTGGCAGGGATACATCAGCATAAATTGATATATTTGTCTCCCCCCTACCCCTCCAGCTTTTTTAGAAGACTGTCTATACTGTGCTTCTTGCATGTGAACTTATGTTTCTTCTGTTTTGATGGAAAACATCTATAACCTGTGTTTTAGTGCTTAATTCAATTAAGCAGGGCACTTAACGAGTTTTCAGTAGAATTAATCTTCTTCATTTGGCAAACCTGAAACTAAATAAAATTAAAAATATAATTGTTTCTTTGTATCTTTACTTACGTTTTCTAGGTTTCTTCTTAGTCTTCTGCATTCAGTAATTCACTTCAGGGGAAAACAAGTAACAGTATATACATTTTTTTTTTTACTTTTTTTTTCCTTTAGCAATGAAGTTATGCAGTAACCACAGTGTTTGCGTGGAGTCAAATATTAAAGACTGGTTCTAGTGATGTACATTCATGAATTTTAAGTGCAAGGCAAGTAATCATCTTAGTTTTAGAAGAACAGCAACCTATTTGGAAAATATACTCTGAAAAATGCTTCCATCTTTGCTGTGACTTTTAAAATCTAATAGATTTACAAAGTACAGTAGGGCATGTGTATACATGCAAACATGCACATCTATTTTCAATTTGTTAGTCCTATTCTAGGTGTTAACACAGTAGGGTTTGTATAAACATCATAATAGTTTCATAAAAAAACAAAACAAAAAAACAAAACAACAAAAACCTCAACATCCTAACATCCTTTCTAATAGCAATTTGGTTTCTCTGAAGGCATTAGATAAATGCCATGTCTGTTTAAAATTTTAGATTTCTTCCACTTATGAAAATAGTTTTTTCTAGGCTTTAGTCCAGTGCGAGCAGCTGAAAAGTGAGATGGAACGGCAGAAGAATCGTCTTGAAAGGGAGCTAGTTGCCCAGCTAAATAAGAGGACTGATGAAAGAGAAGCACTACGAGAAGAGATGAAAAAGGAAAGGGAGGACTTGGCAGCAATGGTATGAGTTGTTTTTTTTCTATTTGTGTATTAGAATGAGCATATCATCCTCTTCAAACTTTGTTTACTTGTTTTTAATTTTGCTTCAGTTTTGGATTTGATTGCTCAGTAAAACACTCCCACCATTGCTTTAAAGCAGTGGTAGATAAGTGATCCTTTGAGCCTGAATGACTGAGTTTTGTGCTATGCACTAGATACATACTAAGTTGTTGATATTATGCACTTATTTTAGTTTGCATAATATTTGCTAATGCACTTTGTTGAAGTAGGAGAGGATTAAGTAATATGTGATGCAAGGTTTGTACCTAGTTTCTTACAAAGATTGTTATTTAGATTGCCAAGTCAAACATTCAGAAGTTAGCACCTGTCAAATTTAGGATTCTTTGCTACTCTGAGCTTACATATACACATATAGTAATGTTACAGTATTGTAATTGCATTCTAATATGGTATTTTTTGGAGTGATCTTATCATATGCTTAATTTGTCCAGCTGCAGAAATGTGTCGGAATCTCTTTTCATACTTTTACTCCTGTTTATAAACTCTTTGAGACACAATCTGTCCCTTCGTTTATACTGTAACCATTACAACAGAGCCTTTATAACCTTGTTTTAGACTTCTAGATGCTAGTGTAATCTAAGTATAAAACATAAGAGTTTTCTGCCCAATGGAATCTACAGAGGAAACCTCATGCTAACAGCAGTGAGCCTGTGAGACATGATGGAGGAGTCACTTCTAAGGTGATTGGAGAAAGAAACAGGAAGAAGAGTAGAGAGAGAAATGCTCCATGAATTAGTGATTTTCATGCTCCTTTGATGTGCAGCCTCCTCAGCCATTTTCTGGTGGAGATTTGGAAACAATATAGTGGATTTCTTTTCTGATTGTAGGCTTTTTACATATTTTGGGCTCCTTTTAGAAATAAGCCATACAGTTTATAAAGTCTGGAGAGCACAAACTGAACACGATAAACTATTTAAGTGTTTAAAAAAGAGGAGGTTCTTTTAGTGATGTTTTCACTTGTGAAATGGCTGGAAAGCTACTGATATAGACAGGTAACTAAGGTGATGTGGTTGTATTTCTGGTATTATGAGATGGTGGAATAGTGTTCTGAAGCTGCTACAGGTAGTCAAAGCCTTTGACTCTAGTTCTGGATATTAAAACAGGAATTAAACACAGTGATAGGGCTAAGTGATGCTTAAGAAAGTGAGCTGCTGTAAGTGATCATCAGAAATCTGTTGCCAGGGCAAACCGAAATAAAAAATTAACCTTACTCTGGAGGCAATGAGACATTGTTAAGCAATTCATTCTTTGAGTCCTTGCTATCTACTAGAAGTTACCCTTCTTATGCATTTAGTTGTTTAGTTACAGATTTGCTTTAGAGCAGAGTACACACTCCAAAATACAGTCTATTAGACAAGGATTACTTATCTTTGTTTTGGCAGAATAATTCACTCCTTCATGCCACCACGTTACTCTGTATTTCATTGCCCGCTGAGATGTGTTTTACTGGAACTGATTCCCACTTTGAGTAGTTGTAGTCCTTTTTTTTAAGTCCTACGTACACACTAAACAACATAGTGATGCTATGATGATGTCATACTTGGTTGTTAAAGGTATGGGATGACGTTGTAGAAAACTGTGAACTATATGCATGATTTACACCTAGAGATGATTAACTACTTTTATGTTTCAGGATTATGAAATGGTAGAAGTGGTACACTGTGCATCAAGTCAACCTCCATAGGAATATTTTATTGCTTACTTTATGAAGTGATTTTTTTTGAATGGGAGAATTGTCATGATACATAAATCAGGTGGATATGTAATGAGTGAAAAATAGTTAAAAATATATAATCTCTAGGTTTGACTCTGAATTCCTGCAAGTTAACCTAGAACTGTCAGACACCATTATTTCCACTTATATTAGTAAGCTTCAGGGCTAAATAGCTGAAGGGTCACTGTCACTGTTTTGTTGTTACATTTTTTTGCCATTCATCAAAATTTGATCTGAATTACATTAGAATTTTTAACATACTATTTCTTTGTGGTTTTTATTACAACATCGTGCTTTGATCTATAGTGCTGAAATATTTTCTGAACTTGAAAATTAATTTAAGATCTGTGGTTGCAAGGACAGTTTTCTTTAGCTGGGTGTGGAACATGTTTTGGTTTAGATCAATCTACATAAGGATGGATAAGAAGGTGTTGAATAGAACTCTTACAGCTGCAAGACTAATGCAGTCAGCTGCTTCTGACACTTTGTCTGTACTAACAAGTCCAGGAGACTTGTCCGGTTGACGAAAAGTTCGAAATAAACTAGTGTATGATAAATTAATACAAAATAATGAACCTATTGTTAAAATCATGTAGCTATATTCTGTTATATTTTAATTTATATTTTATTATGTATTTTACTGTATATATTTAAATTTTTAATTATATTTTTAATGCTATGTATTTTGGCTACATACAGTTGCTTTCAAGGAAAAGGTCCCAAAAGATTTAGATGTATGGTTGGTCAAATTGCATCATTACAGTGTTCTTGGGCTTTTTGCAGGTGACAGCTATGTCTGAGAACGTGGCCATGTTGGAGGCTCAGGTAGAGAGAATTACAAGGGAAAAGAACTCTCTAGTTAACCAGTTAGAAGAATCACAACATCAGCTTGAGTCTCACGAAACAGAGATGAATAAGGTAGGCACATTTATAAATGAATATTGAGCTTGATTTTCCTTATCATTGTGACCTGAAAGGTGAGAATTTTTTTCTTTCTGCATTTTCTTCTGTATTAGTAAGGAATGTGTGATAAATGTAAACTTCATTCGAATATCCCAGAGGCACAGTTTTACGATTAAGAAGATAATTTTTTCAGTCTGCCAAGTCACCTTGTGATGCTAAAGCTAACCTTTCTACCTTTCAGACTATGCAAATCATTACTTAAAACCGCAATCCAGTGTTTCATTAAAAATTGCATTTGATGTGAATGAGACAAGGTGGTATTCAAACCTGTGCTGTAATTGCTACCTCTGGGATATGCAGTGTTAAGATAAAGGGAGCTGTATCAAATCACTGTTTTTAAGTACTTTCCTGTAGAATTTTTATGTGATGTACTGCTTTTTTCATTAATATTTCAGGTATGACTTTTGCAAAGAAATATTTCTTCCAGTTAAGAATTATAGTCTAACATCTATCTATGTATGTGTATCACTTCTGGGTGCTTTATTTTGCACATCTCTCAACCTATTAGAGCTTTGATGTGGGTCATAACATGAGAAAGACAAAACAATTGCCGTCCAAAATTTATAATGGTGGGTGACACATTGTTAAAGTGATTATTTTTATTTGCTTAGTTTCATCATTGACTTGTTACAGAAATAACTTCAGCTTCATGAAAATGAGGGGATGCTAAATTTCTACAAACAAGACAATGTAAGAATTCGAATTTGTTACAGCCTCTTGAAATGTCTATATACCTTGCCAGTAATCCTGGGGCAAATCCTACTTCCTCAGTTGTTAATTGCAAGGTTTTGGAGGGCAATTCATTCTTTAGGCCCCTAGAGACTTCTGGAGACATTTTCATTGGTTCCTGTCTTCCTCTGCTGCCCCTGCTGGTAGAACAAGATGGAAGTTTACAATTTAGAGCAAAAAGTTATCCAAACTTATTAGAAAATGTAATTCCATTTCAGCTGAAAGACAAATGAGGGAGCGTTTTAAGAGTGTTAAAATGGTTTAATTTACCATTTCTGAAACACACTTTTGTTTTTTCAGACTACATTCACAGATGACTAGCACCACACACTGGGAGGTAGAGGGAAAAAAGGTAGTAGGTATAAACATCCACAGGTCCGGAAAGAACAGTTTTGTGGTTTACCAATTTGAAGGAGTCCCCCAGGAGAGGTGACGCTGTGGTTCCAGTCCCTGCTTCAGTTAATGTTTATCAATACCAAGTTGAATAGGTGGCCACTTTGCAGTCATCTATGCTGTGTTTTTATTGCACTATCCTGAGAGACTGGAAAACCGCATTTGTGTCCCTGCAAGTCTCAAGCATCCTGGAGGAAGGTCCTGACCATTGACTTGTTGGGACTATATGCATCACCCTGACCTTTTTCATTGGCTATGTAAGTGCCATATATGCCTGTTTGTGAATCTGACTCCTTGTTTCCAAACCTGGTATGCCATTATTTAAAACAGCAAAGAGTAACATTTTTCCTTTTGAGTTTTATTTGAAATATTTTTTTCTGCATGCGCCGGATGTCAGGGAAAAAAGTTTGGAGTTAAGAATCATTCTCCTGCATTCTGAACTATGAGGAGACTGAAAAATCCATTATTAGGACAGCACCATCTACTGATTCTTCTGCATTATTCACTTTGTACGATATATGGAGGAGCTGAAAGCGAGGATGGCTGTATTTTATTTCGCTTGGAGGAAGTGACATAATTGCACTTTGTTACATCCTTCATATCAAGAAATGAGGAGGTAGAAAGACAGAGTTGGCAATCCATGCAGTTGCATCTTAGGATTTTTTAGTTGCATATGATATTTCAGTATTTAAAAATAAAAAGCTTTAAATTTGCTTTGTCATTCTTTAGAGCATTTACTACCTTGTGTTATCTGCAATGGAGCTAAATTCACAACCTGTCCTTTGAATTTATAAGTGATGCTGCTTCTTAAAGTTAGGACTGTTGGTTTTGTTTTTTCTTAAGGCGATTTGATTGCAGTATGTGTATTTACTTTTACCCTACCTATTTTTTTTTTTAAGAAGAAGAAATAAGGTAGTGAAAATGAGAGGAGATATGAGACTGAAAAATAGGAATTAATTTGGTTTGCAGAATGTGTACAAGGAGATTGTTGAGAAGCAGAGGATTGTAGCAGCAAATTAAAAGTGTGCACATTTAGGAAGCAAGTCTGGTGAAAGAATGTAAGTGGGGCAGGGAAGCAGAGCAAGTTGGAAAGAAAGTTCTCCAAAAGCAGCTGTGGGTAAGCATATTTGCGTTGTCATTAGGGAATGTGCAAGTATTTGGTTAATTAAGGTGAAATGCACAGGCACAAATTGGAGGTGATTGCACAGGATAAGCACAAAAAGAGGACAGCTTGTCCACCATCCTTCTCCATTTCCAACAGACAAGATCAAATAGAATCTTTTAAAAGTCTTAGATTGGGAAATAGGAGAATAACATCCCTGCACAGCACTAGTGAAAATTATGTGGGAGGAAGTGGTGTAGGGTTTTTCTTTCTCTTTCTTTCCTCTGACCCTTTCCCAGACTCGCTGAAGTTCAGCTGCCTTCAGGTGCAAAGGAATGAAGAAGTAAGAGGACTGTTGTGGGTTTAGGCCGATCCAGCAATTAAACTCCACACAGCCACTCTCCCACTCCAGTAAAGTGGAGAGGAGAAAAATATAATAAAAGGACTGAGGGTCGAGACAAGAACAGAGGGAGCACCCACCGATTTGATGGCCAGCTCCTGCCACCAGAACCTCCCCCCCACATCAAACCATGGCAATAACAAACATTGCAACAGCAGAGAATAATTGTTGCCTTTGTGCAAGTGATACTGGATTTCTTTGTGTTGCTTCGATCCCTTTCTTCTGGCCTATGAACATATTTGAATTAGGCATTGTTTTTAAAGAATTGATATTCAGTTTGTAGTAAGTCTATAATGCTCTAACTTGGAAAATTAATGTATTAATATCTAAACCTTTTCTTAACAGTGGAAAATTGGCAAGATAAGAAATTACGCCTTTGTATAGGAGCGTGATTGATCCTTTACTTCTAGGTTTTGAAAGTGTTGACATAGACTTTCTTGGGATTTTAGAGAGAATATAAAACCAGCAACTGCAGTTTAGCTGTATTTAGTAGCACATATATTTACAACATAAATATTTATGCTTAGCAAAATCTTGATCCAAATATAATTGAATCTAGAAGGCACTGCATATTTCAAAGTTGATGACTATATAGAGAATTCAGATCCACCTTTTTATAGAAAAACATTTACCATATGTAGTCTTAAAATATCTGTAAATTAAAATATGTTGCATTTAAATGAACTCTAGAGGGCACCAAAAGATCTAATTGCAAACCCTGGGCTAAGGATTCTTCAAGCTACAGATCATGTTGTCTGTATGATCTAACAGGTGTGTGGAGAAATGCGCTATCAGTTGAATCAAACCAAAATGAAGAAGGATGAGGCAGAAAAGGAGCTCAGAGAGTACAGAACAAAAACTATAAGGGAGCTTGAAATTAAGGACCAGGTAAGAGATAATACTGCTATAACTTTGCAGTTATTAGAAGCCTAAGTAGAGTTATTTCGGAAGCTGGATTGATTCGTTTTTCTAATAGTGGTCATTTATTACTGTTAAATGGTTTCTAAATTAATGGCAACAAGCCAGCTATTACTGTTAAATAAATACCTCTTGGTTATCTTATTCTTGTTTTCAGCCCTAGTGTGTTCAGTTTTACATAATACTCATCCCATGTTTTCATATAGAATTACTCTGTCATATGTATTCATACAACGTACTTAAATTCTGTGTACTGTATACATGTGTTTATACACTTTTTCTTACAAATAAATCCACACATAATTACATATACATGCAGCCTGAAAGAACATTAAAGTCTCTAAGTATAACCTAACTATGCCAAAAATGAAAATAATCTCTTCCAGTTTCTTTAAAGATGCAAGGTTAATGAATGCTGGGATTCATAAAAGTTAAAAAATAAAATAAAATTAAAAAAATAAACTTCTAGGAAAAAAAAAACTGTATAAGAACTCCTGTAGGCATTAACTGTTGATTACCTAAAACAGTGTTTTACAATAGAAAAAACAAAACAGTATATGCCTTACAGGTAGTCTGTGAGAAAACATCCCATGAAGTAAGAAAGATTATTAGAGTAACGTGCAACATACTTGGCAAACAGCTTGAACAGGTGTAATCTGCATCTTTGAGGTGCCCTTTTTGTTGAGGTTCTACCCATTTTTCTCTAGGTATTCAAACTTTCAGTTATTCCTTCATAAATTGTGATTTGCACATGAGAGTGGATGTCTTCTGAATACACAGATGCACATTAGGATAATTTTTTTTAATATGCATTTTGTTGTTAAAGCAGCCTATCTAATAGGTTTTAAATCATTCTTTCTCTTGTAAATAAGTGAA